TCTCTCCTCTCCTCTCCTCTCCTCCCCTCCCCTCTCCTCTCCCTCTCTCTCTTCTCTGGTAACCACTGTACTGTCGTCTGTGTCTGTGAGCCTTGTTTAGTGTGTGTGTGTGTGTGTGTGTGAGTTTAGCATCCACCTGCTAAAAGTAAAGCATGCCAGTATTTTTTTTTATGTAAAACTTAATGTACTGATCATCCAAAATTAATTTTTGTAAGTGTAGTGGAAAAGTACATGAAATATTACAAGTAAAAAATACCATCCAAGTTTCATATTGAATTCATAGCATCTATAGTAACTTAATTTCAATATAGCCAGTAAGTGAAGGGTTAATGTTAGTTTTCATTTGGAGGGGGTTTCAAAAATTATTTTTTAAATGCTGAAAGAAATTTAAATGATGGGTGGCTGAGAAATTTTCTAAAATTATGTTTGTTTCTTGACTGAGAGATCACATAAATAGAAATTATGTATTAAATGCTGTTAATCTGGAGACTATAAGAATATCTCATCAACAGTGCCATTCAGGAGGGTGTTTGTGGAAGAGACGGAGACAGGAAGAGGGACATCAGGCTAGTCAGGTCAGCTCAAACTATTCTGGTCAGCAGGGAGCCTGGCTGCTGTAGTCACATAGCCTGTGTGACATGTCAAAGAAGCCCATGTGCTCCTGTTCCTGGTAGTTGTCCCCAGGACAGGAATTTATAAGCACATTGCTTGTACTTTGGACATCACGACCTTTGCAGCACCAGGGACAGCATATGGATGATGATGCTAAGAACAGCCCACAGTCATCCAGCCCGTACTTCAGTGTCATTGTTCTAAGTGCTTTACACGGTTAACTGACGTAACCCCCAAACACACACATGATAGCAACAACATCTCCATTTGTAAGCAAGCGAGGCAGAGTAGCTCAGTGTAATTTAGGTTACCAGGCAGTAAGGTGAAAGCTGAGATTCAAACCTAGACAGTCTGCTTTCAGTCTGGCCTCTTAAAAAATGTACCACACACTGCTTCATATTTGGAAAAGAATCCCCAAATCAAAGGTTTTCAGGATTTGTGTCTACAGTCCAGTTTAAAATGAGGTATGTGATTCTTTTCCCATATACTCTTAAGTTATAATACAGGAATTCCACAAGCTCTCTTTTTTAATCTTTCTGCCTGGATCTGACAAGACGACATACCAAATGAAGACCATGAGGAAGACTGTAGGAGTCGTCGCTGCAGACAAGTTTTGTACCACTTCCTAGTGTGTGATCTTGGCCAAATCACCAAAATATTCTCTTTTAGTACTGATTAAAGGATGACAGCGTTTACCCCACAAGATTGGACAAATTGAATGAGGACTTTTCTGACCACCGATTCAGACATGTACCACACTATTCAGTTGTCCAGGTGAGTGGACACTTTATGCATAATTTATGGGATTTTTCAAGGGTCATTTTGACTGTAGTATTTTTACCTTACCTGCTGACATCAGAATCCTTGGTTAAGTTGCAGCTGCACTGTAAGCCTTTGTGTTACAGTAGATCTAGTGTCTTCAGAGGATCTGCTTGGGCTATTTCTGTAGCTGGGCTCAGGATGGCACACCCTAACTATGGAGGTAAGTCTAGTAGCTACCCAGATCAAACACTAATACAATGCTTACTAATAAAAGCTACGGTTTGGGTGGAACGGTAGGTAGTAGAGAGCAACAGAGTTCCAAAAGGACTGCCAGCTGCTCATCCACTAGGTATTTTGTTCTTATTTACAAAGCAACAACCAAAAATAACTTTTGTCAACCCGACATAATGGTTCATGTGAACATCTGGTTGTGACATGACCAGAAATATTTCAAAGATTCCTAAGCACTTCATTTAAAAGTTTTATATTTACTATTAGAATAATTCCTTGGAATAATTTTTTAGGTATTATAAGTTATTTTTTAAAGATGACTTTACCCACGATCAAAATAGGAAAAATACTAAAATGAGTAGAATTGCATAAATATAGAGAGGTAAGTAATCTTTAGATGTTTTTACTGTGTAACCTAAAATCTAAGAGCCTAAAATCTAAGGAAGAGAATTAGAGAAAATACAAAAGTGCAAGGAAGGTAAATGAGTAATGAATTGTCTTAACTTTTATTTGATTATTTTCATTTACAGTTCTGGCACTGACACATTTTTTAAAAAAAGATTTTAATTTTATGTAAAGATTGAACTTCAATAAAATAACTTAAAAAACATTTACATATACATCACTAAATCTCATAAAATATACAATACTTTTGATACAGCTATAGGCTAGAATGACTTTGAAGGAAATGATACATATTCATAATTTTTCAGAGATATCCCATATGTCACATGTAGGAATAAATATATATATTGTATTTGCCAAGACATGTGAATATTAAACACTCTATAACATGCACTCAGAAATTAAAATACACACTTTGAAAACATATTTTAAAAGCATAAAATTGTTTTGATTTAGTCTAGATACACAGTAGAGCTTCTAAATAGAAATTTGAACATTATAAATAAAAGATATAACATTAAGTGAGATAGAGTCCAAAAGCTGCTAGGAACCAGTTTGGACATGTAGAATATAAATTTCTACTTTGGCTAGAGTTAAGTCTCATCTTTTTTTAACCTCGAAATGAAATGGAATGTTATTTAAAATCTGCTAACATTTTAAAACTTTACAAAATACTGGTTTTTATCTTTTAAGTACATGGATGTTGCAATTTTTTTCATTTATATTGATATGACAAATCAAACACATGAACTTAACTGTCTAAAACAAAAATCTGTATATTACTACTAAACAAAGGTAGGTATTTACCATTCCACAGACCAAATCACTCAAGTGCAACAGACTATTTTATACGTACAAAGTAAAGATTTATAGGAATTATATTGTTTTATACTCACAAGCAAATTAGGATAAAATTCTTTCATGTACTTCTGAACAACATTAACACTCATAAAATATCTCTCTGATGATAACTGGCACACAAAAATTTCCCTTCTCTAAGACAATATATAAGCGAGTTGGTAGCAGTTAGCTGTTTGGTATTTTTAAATGATTGCTATTCCTAGAAAATAGCAACAATATTGCCCACCCAGAACTGAATGTACTGACCATTGATTCACTGCTGCAACCTGAATCACTTCATTCATGAGCTTAACATTTCTGTACATAAGACTAAGAAAATTAATAGAAAGTGACAGAAAACAGGACACTAAAATTAATCCACAGAACAATTCTGAGTCTTTTTAGAGGCAGCATTTACACATGAGCTGTAAATTTTATCCACAATTTAATACACTTTGCTCTAAAGCACATATGAATTCTCTGCTCCTTGCCTGGTATATCGTTCCTGTATTTGTTGTTAGTGAAAAGGTCTGAATTTGGTCATTGAAAACTTGTCACAACTGCCAGTTATTGGGCGCTTAGTATAATTTGAGATTTTGTAAGTAGGAAAATGGTTAAAAAAAATCTGATTATAACAAAGTATCTTACTAATTTTATTGTTTTCAATTAGTGCCAGTGAAAATCAAAACAATCCTTCTCTTCCCCCCACTGTATTACAGTATTTATAAACAATATTAGCGCCATTAGATTGTGAGATTCTCTTAGATAACATATAGATAGTATTTTCTAGAATATTTTTCCCCAGGATCTATGGACTATTATTATGCATTTCAGTTTTACTTTCTGAGGAAAAAAGAAGAAGGGTAAGTTGTCAATTTATGTTTTTCTTGTTCATTGATTGTGAATTAGAGTAAACAATTTCTAAATTTTTTGCTTTAATGGATTTCCCATTTTAGAGTAACCTAAAAACATATTTAGATTCACATACTTAAATCTTGTTTAGTGGTAAAATAAAGTTATGAGAAAGCACTTGATAGCATTACTCTCAAAGCATTTTCCTCAGTGAACTAACTACTGCATATGATTGGGAACAAAATTTCAAACCTTTTAAATTAGTTTTAATTTAGATCTTTTACAAATACATTAAAAATCGTGTGTTGGGTAATTATTGACTAAGATGTAACAATCAAAATTATTAGGAATGTTTATATTGAAGAAAAATAATGCCAAATCCTTAAAACCTATCTTACACCAACTTTAGACTTAAGTGTTCAGATGCAGATGAAAGTTGCATTCTGAATTCTAGTGCAGATCTCATCAGCCATCCAGCTAATAAGCCTTAATAGGGGTTACAACTTTCTTCACTGTTTCCCTAAAACTTAATATATGTCTATTGAATTTGCAGCATGTTTAGAAGCAAACCTATCATTTCAGTTAAAAGCATGATGCTTAATGCGTTTTGATATGGTAGGTTAAATCATACCATATATAAATTGTCCTACAAAATATATATTTGATGATATTTCAAATAGAATGTTTTCAAGTTGATAGTGGTAGCTAAAGATGCTGAGAACTTAAAAGGTGCATAAATATAAAAAAACTTTGAAAATTCAAACATTAAATTTTCATATACTATAAATATTCACCGAATCTAAAAATAATACCCTAATTGTATAAGGTTCCTTTTCAAGTAGTTATTTGTTTTTTAAAAAATTATAAATAATTCTTATACTGTGCCTCTCTGTTCTGTACTTCAAAGATATGGAATATTTATCTCTATATAAATAACAAAGAGTCCTTTAAAGAAGGGGTTGAGGAGAACTGTGGCTAATTTTCCCTGCTATTATGTGCATTTATGGATATCAAGTTGAAAACACCATTTGAATATGTCAGGGAGAACTGGCCATGTTCTGCTTTACAAAATAATAAGAGTCGAGTTGTTCCTTTAATAAAGTTACTGTGCATTCAGCCCAGCTGAGTTAAGGCTACATATATAATAAAGAGAAGAACTGAGGCAATTATTTGGATAAATCAGAAAAATTCTTAAAGTGAGTACTTCATTTGTCTAAATGCTTTTTCTCCCCGTCATATTTTGATTTTAAGACCCAACAGATCCTTCCTTTTCTACTTCACTTACCTGTGTGAAATATTACACAGGTAAGAAATTCATTATGGGATAAAAAGTATCAATAGAATAATTTTCTCTATGAAATCACATTTACTTTTATGGGGCAAATTAGTATCAAATTAGAAATCAATTGTCAAAGCACCTAATTCAAGAAAAAAAACACTCAATATATGCTGTGATCAAAGGGAGAAAATGTTTTACCAGAAAAGCGACCGCTAAAAGCACATATCAGACCCCTGCTGACTTAGACAGTGGAACCTCTTTGGCTACATTCTCGGCTTTGACACTTGTGATCGGAACAAGCCAGTCTTGAAGAGAAAATATCTTGGAGATTGGCAGCTAGACTGAATTTAGAGATAGCCACCTTTTCACTCCCAGGATACCTTATCAGATGTTTAGAGCCATGTTAAAATGCATCACACTTATGCATTCCCAACTGGCCACAGAAGAGTCATTCATAATTTCACCGGAACTAGCAAGTAATTTTGTATATACTATATAGTTCCTAATGTAAGAGCAAAAAATAAGAGTTCACTGATAAAGGAACATAAAGCCCAGTTAACACTTTGAGAAGACATTGTAAAAATGCAAAGTCAACATTTCTTAAAGACATGTGCTATGTGAGAACCATTAATCTGTCCCAATAGAAAAACCCCAATTTTTAGATAAGGAAAAAAATTCAAGCCACGCATGAGTAAAAGGAAACAGCCACAGACAAATCTATGTGTGGTTTTGGAGGGCGGAGAAGGCAGTGGGGAGTAAATTGTCAGAGAAAAGGAGAAAAGGTGTGCAAACTAAAAACTAGTTTATGCTCTTACATTTAAAAAAAGGAAAGTAAAAGTGACAATTCCCTTAGGAAGATTAATAAAAAGTTAAAATAAGTCCCACTAATTAACAACAGGATTATTTGTCACTGATTTTCTTCCTTTTCTGTTTCAGAAATTATTTGAATAAAAGAAGCGGAAAATAGTCTGCTAGCAGCTATTTATATAACACAAATGAAGGCACAAATAAGACTCGAGAGTTGATGAACAAAGGCATGGTGAGTGTCAGGTGATTTTGGCATGTACAAAAACTGACCCTGAAATGCAGCTGAAGGTCTAGTGCTATTTATATTTATAGTTCCATACCTAAGTGACTAACTCAATGAGGGACCCATAAAAATCTTCTTTCTTACGTTTCTAGCAATAAAATATACTTATCAAAACTTGCTAGCTTATCTGTGCAAATGTACACTTATCACCGATGCAAAAAATATGTATGAAAATATACCCTAAAAGACCTGCTTTTCATAATGTTCCAAAGATCCTGTGCAGAGTCAGTTTCTGAAGAACTCTCAAGATCTCAGTTTGAAGAGAGAAACCAAAATGTAGAAGCCAAAGGAGATAAAGACAGCTGTGCCCTTGTAGGAGGCACTGTTGATGAAAGCTTAATGGAATTTACTTTCTAATAGCTGATCACAGATTAGATACTTGTCCTTAGAAGAATTTAGAGCCAATAGGCCATGTTTTGATAAACATCCTTGGACCATATCCTAGGATCCTCCTTTATATCACACGTACATGATTCAGCTAGATTAGCACTGATTTAATTGCCACTAATAATTATATATGGTCTTAGGAAAAAAGGATACCACTGAAGTCACTGGATACAATATTCATTTTAGACTATCTCAGGAAGGAATTACACATATTTGCTCAATGATTATTTTAAAATACCTAATTTTTTAAATATATATCTGCTTATGCAAAAAAAATGTCAACATGATTGTATCTTCCTTCTAATCAAAGATTATGAAGTCATTTAAAACTAGACTGGAAAGACCCAGATTAGAAGCAGGGCAGTAAGGTCACCAATTGCTGCTCTTTTCTCCCAAGGTTGTTTAAATAACTACGTACACAAGCAGTTGAAAATTACTCCACATCAGAAGCATCGTTGTCAGAAAGATGATAGTTACTTCCCTTTACCCGAATATATTCAATGTATCTCCCGTCATCAGAATCAGAAGCGCCACACGTACAGAGCCTGTTGTCAAAGAGTGATTCAATTTCCTCTAATTTCTTCCCTTTAGTCTCAGGAAGACAGCCATAGATGAAAAGGAGTCCCACAGCAGCGAATCCAGCATAGAGGAAGAAGGCTCCTGCGATGGAAAATAATGTACAGTAAGTCCTCACTTAATGTCATCAGTAGGTTCTTGGAACTAAGGCAAAATGACATGGGGTTGATTCCTGAACAGTTTGGGGCTAGGAGCCCCCTACTCTCTGTGTAGTTGAAAATCCACATACAACTTTTGCCTCCCCAAAAACTTCACTAATAACCTAGTGTGACCAGTTTTACTGTTAACAACACAGTCAACACATATCTGGTATGTTGTAAGAATATAGTATTAATACCTACAATAAGCTGGAGAAAAGAAGATATTAAGAAAATTATAAGGAGGCAATACATTTACAGTACTGTATGTATTTATTGAAAAAAAATCCATGTATAAGTAGAACTGAGCAGTTCACATTGTGTTGTTTAAGGGTTAACTGTGTAAAGAAACCAATTTTACCACAGGCTAATTGATATAAATAAGAGTTAAGTTCCTGTAGCATCCCATCAGTGTTGTAACAAACCAATGCTGAATGTAACTAAGTTATTCAAAGCGCTGCTGTGTTGTGTGTGTTTGCCTGCACACACTCTCCTAGGTTGGAAAATACTTGATTTGGACTTTTCTGGTCAATTGTGCATAAATAACTGTGGTCTGAAATAGAACCAAAAAACTACTGCCAGCCTGGTCACTCTAATTGTTCCAACCCTGTGAATATAATGCTATTTATTGTTCTAAAGTCATGTAATGCCAAACTCAAGAACGATAGACCAGGCTTATATGTACCTTCTACTTTTATGTCTTCCCTCATGTCCCTGGCTAGAGATAACTGCTTCTCTATGTGCTTTCACCGTACTGTGCTGAGGCCCCTTATCATAATAACCAAGAAGTATTATAATTACGTGCATGTATTTTGTCTGTTTTTTCTGCCAGACTGTATACTCTGAGGGAGAAATTTCATTCTCATTTATCTTGTATGTATTTCCACAATGACACAAAATAATGACACTGCTGATTTCATGACTTAATGGAATACATGGCAATGCTGTCCTTCCAGCCTCTCATGGCTCAAATCTGGAAATTGACCTTGACTTTTTTCTTACTTTCCCCTCCAATAGCCAGTCTGTTAGGATCTACTTTCAAATACAATCTGAGAGATGACACTTACCATTGCACTGATACCATCCTCCCTCATCTGCACTGTTGCAATAGTCTCCTAATTGGTCTCCTTGTGCCTTCTCTCTCTCTCTTTTTTAATCCTTACCCGAGGATATTTTTTCCATTGGTTTTCAGAGAAGGAGAGCCACATCGTGATTGGTTGCCTCTGCATGTACCGTGACCAGTGCCGGGGATGGAGCCTGCAACTGAGGTTAGTGCCCTTGGCTGGAATCGAACCCAGAACCCTTCAGTCCACCAACCGACGCTCTAACCACTGAGCAAAACCAGCTAGGGTTTTGTGCCTTCTCTTAGTCCACTCTGGGTCCATAGCACTTATCACCATCTGACACACTATAAAGCTTACTTTTTTATTAAAAATTTTTTTCTAGTGTAATTAAATTTTAAAAAATATTCTAGTTGACATACAATATTGTATTAGTTTCAGATGTACAACATAGTGATTAGACATTTGTACAAGTTATGAAGTGATTACCCTGATAAATCTAGTACCCTACTGACTCCATACAGTTATATTATTGACTGTATTCCCTATGCTCTACTTTATATCCCATGACTATTTTTATAACTACCAATTTGTACTTCTTAATCCCTTCACCATTTTTATTCATCTGCCCAGCCCCCTCCTATCTGGCAACTGTCATTTGTTCTCTGAATCTATGAGTCTGTGTCTGTTTTGTTCATTTATTTTGTTTCTTAGATTCCACATAGAATTGAAATCATATGGCATTCGTCTTCTCCATATGATTTATTTTAATTACATGTTACCTTCTAGATCCACCCACGATGTTGCCAATGGCAAGATTTCATTATTTTTTATGGCTAATATTTTATTGTATGTATGTACCACTTGTTCATTATCCATTCATCTATTGATGAGCACTTAGGTTACTTCCATTTCTTGGCTACTGTAAATAATGCTGCAATGAAGTGGAATTGTTGGGCCACAAGGTAGTTCTGTCTTTTTAAGTAACCTCTGTACTGCTTTTCATAGTGGCTGTACTAATTCACAATCCCACCAACACTGTGTGATGGTTCCTTTTTCTCTTCATGCTCCCCAACACTTGTTGTTTGTTGATTTTTTGATGATAGTCATTCTGACAGGTGTGAGGTGATATCTCATTATAGTTTTAATCTGAAATCCCTGATGATTCGTGATGTTGAGCATCTTTTCATATGTCTACTGGCCATCTGTATGTCCTCTGCCATTTTTTAATGGGATTCTTATTTTGGTATGAGTTCCTTATATATTTTGGATTTTAATTCCATATAGGACGTATCATTGGCAGATAATATTCTCCCACTCAGTAGGTTGCTTGTTCATTTTGTTGATGGTTCCTTCACTGTGCAAAAACTTTATAGTTTGATGTAGTCCCATTTGTTTATGTTTACTTTTATCTTGCCCGAGGAGACATATCCAGAAAAATATTGGTAAGAGCAATGCCAGAGAGTTTAGTGCTTATGTTTTAAGAGTTTTATAGTTTTGGTTCATACATTTTCTTGCATATATCTGTCCAGTTTTCCCAATGCCATTTATTGAAGATTGTCTTTATCACATTTTGTCATACTTTGTCATAGATTAATTGACCACATAGGCATGGTGTTTTCCCCCCTAGGTTCTCTAGAGTGTTCCACTGGTCTGTGTGTGTTTTTAAGCTTGTGCCATGCTGTTTGATTCCTGTCGCCCTGCAGTATAGTTTGAATATCAGGTGGCACGCCAGCTCCAGCTTTGCTTTTCTTTTTCAACATTGCTTTGGCTATTTACAGGCTTTTGTGGTCCATATAAATTTTAGGATTATTTAAAAAGTGCCATTGGTATTTGGATCGGGATTGCACTGAGCTTGTAGAGGTGGTACGAGCATTTGAATGATGTTAATTCCTCCTGTCCATGAGCACAGTAGTCTTTCATTTTTCGTGTGTCCTCTTCCAGTTTCTCTCTTCAGTGACTTATAGGTCTGTGTCCTCTTCCAGTTTCTCTCTTCAGTGACTTAGAGTTTTCAGAGTATAGGTCTGACCTCCTGGTAAAATTTATTCCTAGGCATTTTATTTTTGATGCAACTGTAAATGGATTGTTTTCTTAATTTTCCTTGATTGTTTGTTATTAGTGTATAGGAAAACTATAAGATACTGAAGGAAGAAATTGAAGAGGACACAAATAAATGGAAGGCTATACTGTGCTCATGGGCTAGAGGATTGACATTGCTTTGAGTCATATGGTGATTTTAACAGTCTACAGATTCAATGCTATTTCTGTCAAAATGCCAATGACATTCTTCTCAGAGCTAGAAGAAATAATCCTAAAATTGACATGGAACCAAAGAAGACCATGAATAACAAAGCAATCTTGAGAAAGAAGAACAAAGCTGCAGGTACCATGCTCCCTGATTTCAAACTACACTGTACGGCTCTATTCAAAGCTCTAATAATAAAAACAGACAGTACCAGCATAAAAACAGATGCCTAGATCAGTGGAACAGAATAGAGCCCAGAAGTAACCCTCACTTATACAGTGAACTAAAATATTTACGACAAATGAGGTAAGCATGTTACTACAGTAATTACAGTCTCTTCCACAAATAGTGTTGGGAAAACTGGACAGGTTCATGTAAAAAAATTAATCTGGACCATTCTTTTACCCATGTACAAAAATAAACTCAAAATGGGTTAAAATCTTAAACTTAAGGCCTGAAACCATAAAACTCCTAGAAGAAAACACAGGTAGTAACTATTTGACATCAGTCTGAGTAACATTTTGGATATGTCTCCTCAAGTAAGGGAAACAAAAGCAAAAATAAACAAATGGAACTACATCAAACTAAAAAGTTTCTGCACAGTGAAGGAAACCATCAGCAAAACAAAAAGACCTGCATGGGGGAATAGATTCACAAATAGTATATTCAAAAAAATAAGAAGCTCATGCAACTCAGTAACAAAGAAAAAACAATCTGATCAATAAATAGAGGCCATGAAAAGACATTTCTTCAAAGAAGGCATACAGATGGCTAACAGTCATATGAAAAGATGCTCATCATCACTAATCATCAGGGAAATGCAGATCAAAACCACAGTGAAATACCACTTCATACCAGTCAGAATGGCTATTGGGAAGTAAACAAGCAACGTACAGCAGGGTGTGGAGAAAGGGGAACCCATGTGCGCTGTTTGTAGGAGTGCAAATTGGTGTAGCTACTATAGAGATGCCTGAAAAAAACCCTAAAAATTAGATATAACCATATGACTTAGCAGTTCCACTTCTGAGTATTTATCTGAAGAAATCCAAAACACTAATTTGAAAAGATATATGCACCCCATGTTTACTGCAGCATTATTTTGCAAAAGCCATATGAAAGCAACTTAGGTGTCCATCTATATAGGTGAGTGGACAAAGAAGATGTGTGTATGTGTACACACACACACACACACACACACACACACACTCTCTAATATTACACAGCAATAAAAATGGTATCTTGTGATTTTCAACAACATGGATGGATCTAGGGGGTATTATGCTAAGTAGAGAAATACAAATACCATATGGTTTCACTTACATGTGGAATCCAAAAAACCAAGCAAACGGACAAACAAAACAAACACAGACTTATAAAAACAGAGACCAAAGGGATGGTTACCAGAAGGGGGTGGGGATATGGGTGAAGGGAAATACAGTCAATATTTTAAGGTTGCACAGTGACACGTTTACTATAAGGTATAAAAATGTTGAATCACTATATTGTACACCTGAAACTAATATAACTAATATAATATTAAATAGAAACTATAGTTAAATTTAAAAAAAAAAGAAATTATGTTACATGCCTATTAGAATTCTGGATGTTAGTTGCTCAAAAAAGTAGTAAGAGAGCATTATTAAATTCTACTAAATCACAAGGGGAAAAGAGTTGCTATTTGAGATAGAACAGAATAAGATTAGTAAGACGAATAAATTAGAAATGTTTTCATCAAAAAGGTGATACTGGCCAGCTAGCTCTTGGGAAAGGCGGGAATTTTGAGGGAAAAAATGAAAGGAGATGAAATCTTGTGTTCTAATTACAGATAATCAAAATTGTGGAGGTAAGAATAGAAATGGAAGCTTTAGTGGAGAGAGACAAAGAAAGGATGGTAATCCTGATGATGGTAATATAGGAATATAAGTGTATATGCTAAAGTATTTTAGACTAAACCAGGCTGCTGAATTCCTATAACAGAGCAAACCTAGTTCGGCTTTATAAAATGTAATATTGAGGAAATATTCATCATCTCTTACAATTTAGGTGTAATGGCATGATTAGAAGTAACTAATTAAATGTGTCAGTGCTAAAACATTTGATGGATTGGGAAGGTTCTTGAAGGCCATATACCTTCTTGCTTGTCACCCAGATTCCTGAAGCCAAATAATATCAAGGAAGTTCTATCTAAATACAAGATCCTAGTACAAAATCTGAGGACTCTAAAGCAGGCCAGTTCCGAAGGTGGCCTTCCCTGGTGAGACCTGTGGTTAAACCAGAGGTGTGGGAAGGCCCAGGAGGCCCTGACCGCTCCATGTAATGGGAAAGTTAGTCGTGTAACTACTGTAATTGTTCCCTCTTGGAATAAAAAGGATAAAAGTGTCTGTACCGAGTCTGTCAGGATTGTTAAACAGTGCAGATATTCCTCAGCTTTACTCTGAAGGAAACCCATTTTATTAGAGTCCTATATTAAGTTTCAGATTAAAATAAATATTTAATTGAATTATACAAAATGAGGAATCAAAGACGGTGTCTGTAATGCTCTGCAAGGGATCTGTTTAGTCACACAGGATACCCATAAAATGGCATACTGGTGACATTTTAATGATAATTTTTAGTAATAAACATTATTGAATGGGGGCCAAGGAAGACTGTCGAAGCAGTATAGTTTTGGAAGGAATCAAAATTTGACGTTTTATGAAACAATAAAAGGAAGAAATAAGAGAGGATGTGGTATTTCCAGAGATAAATTATTGTATGTATTCGTTAAATCAGCAATATGAACATACCTTACATAAATTCTAAAATGTAGGTTAAAAAACCAGGAAAAACTCACCTGAACTGAAATACTGTTCCACTGTCAGCCAGCCGTAGACCAAGTGGACCAGTGTGCTGACCTGATAGAAGCTCACTTAATGCAAAAAGAAAAAAGTTTCCTCTAACCAGAAATTTTTGAAAGAAGCCAGGCTATCCCTATTTAAAATTTACTTCTGTTGCCTCATGTTTTTCTGGCAGCATAAATTCAAGAAAGAGGGGCTTTGCTATCAGAAGTATTCCCATGTAGACTTTTATTATTTGGTCTATCCCTCTATAAAAAATGCTCTCTCAGGATATTAGTCTACATTTAGGTCTTCAAATATTTAAGCATTCTCAAGAATCAGCAAATATGGGTACATATTTATTGTGCTAATATTTATGGTGTCAGGAAGATAAGTTTATGAACTTCAGTAAAAAAATTTTAATTGCAAAATGGGATAGAGCTGAATATACTTAATATACAGTTTAAAATGCCTGTGCTTTTCCTTTCCAAAAAAATTAAATATTTCTAAATGCTGACTGGGAGAGAAAAGTCTTATAAAGATAAAAAAATTTTAGATAAATAGTATTATGTAAAACTAAACAGCAATTCTGTTTAGAAGAGAGGAGGAATAGATTTTTTAATGTTTCTCATAGTTGTCATTCATTTACAAAATCTACCTGAGTATTCAGTCATTTGATCAACACTTCTGAGGGCTCACTGAGTAAGATGCCTTGGAAGGTACTGGGATTATAACCGTAACCAAGGCCGAGTCCTGGCCTGAGCTCCAGGGATTTATGGTTGCGTGGGGGTGGGGCTGACAAATGCACCTGTTCTTGCAAAAAGAAATAAGTACCCGGGGTGGGCATCAGCAGTAGGCATTCTATATTCAGAGGCTTGTGTGGAGATTAGAATGAAAACCTATCCATCATTTAGAATGCAACCACAACTTATAAACTCATACAATAAAGACATCCTCTTGCTGGAAAGGCAGTCTTTTCACTTTAGTAAAAATGGACTTGAAGTAGTTTACCGAAGTTTTCCCCTAAGTCAGCTACTTCCCACTATTGCTTTGAGTTATGGTCTCCACACATTTGTGCTTGAACTCTTCTGACATGTTCACGTTCTAGCAGCATGATTGCTGGTCTCCGCGGACACAGAAATGGACCTGCCTGGGTCTGAAAGCATAGATGATGCAGTGGGAGGCATAACTCACAGCAGGGCATTTGGGGCAGCTTCTTTCAGCCCTACTCTGATCCCATCCCTGTCATGGGATATCATCAAGCATTAGCCCTGGACCCCTTGCCTCATCTTTCTACCATTCTCTCTTACGCTTCTTCATTAAACTAAAAGCCATGTTGTGAAAATTTCCAACTGGGGAGACAGCTGGGAGACATTTGGGCTGGGAAAGTAGGTGGGTGGGTGGAGGCTATACAGCACTGAGGGACAAGCAGCAGTGCTGCTTGGGAAAGTACAGTTCCTCTCACCTGTCCCCAGGTATGTTTCCAAGGACTTGCGGGAACAAGAAAGCCACATAGAAATATTTATAACAGCAAAAATGTAACGATGGAGTCTTTTAATCACAAATGATTTTAGCATATATAAAAATAGAATAGAAAAAAATCCTCTTACCGTAGTATGTAAGATACTCTGCTGTGTGTAAAAACGTCAGTGAAACCAGAACATTGAAAATCCAGTTTATTCCAGATGAACATGCATTTCCTGTACTTCTTGCCCAAAGGGGATATATTTCAGAATTCACAGTCCAAGGCATTGGTCCCATTCCTGAGAAATACAAAATTAAACATTTCAGTAGAGCAGGATGTAAGGAATTTTTTAGAAAGTAGCTTGTCTCCTCTTAGAAGAGACAATCTAATTGATAACAGTGAAGGCTTGTTTACCGGGTGCGAAGAAAACTAGATATAAAATAAGGCCCAGAAGTGCAGTCCAAGAGTATGGAGTAGGGCAGAAATTGTAAGCCCAAAATACTTCTTCTGTTTTGAATTTGGTTTCATTTTCACACCTGAAAAATAATGCAATAGAAATATTAACTTGGTGTTTTAGGATACAGTTGTAGAAATTCAATGTGATCATCTAGGACATATTTGGAAGTTCCTTAATATAATTAAAGAAAAGGGTCCAACATATTTTCCTTGAAAAAAATAAGATTGAAATAATATACAGTATTAGATATGGAAGCTCACAGAGGTGAATATAATTCAGGAGCAACACATAGAAATACTCTGTGCATACTACTCATAGCAAAAAAACAAATCCAATTAAAAAAATGGGCCAAGGATCCGAATATGCACTTTCCAAAAGAAGACATACAGATGGCCAGCAGGTACATGAAAAGATGCTCAACATTACTAATCATTAGGGAAATGCAAATCAAAGCCACAATGAGATATCACTTCACACCAGTTAGAAAGGCTGTCATCAAAAAAGGTGTGTAAGACAGAGCTGACTTCATCTTAAAAAGCTGACTTCATTTAAAAACTAATCTACCTGAATCCTTGTACCCTTTCCCCTTTCCCTGGGGCTGCCTCTGGAAGCTTCAAGTTAATCACAAACTACCATTAATCCTTGCCCTAAGGCAAAGCACCCTCAAAGGTTAACCTGCCCCTGCTCCAGACTACCCCCCCTCCCCCAATCTGGTCTCTTTGTTCCACTCCATCATCCTTCCCTGCAATCTTTTAAGAATATGGAATACATAGGTCCATTTCTTAAAGGGGTAGAAAACAAGGTCGGGATGAACGGTGTAGGGACCCACTCTCTGTCCTGCTGCTGCCCAAGAGGGCATTTCCCTGAGTTGTCTATCGAAATTCTAAACTGACAAGCTGGACTTGTGCGTGTTGTTCTTTGGCCTCTCCTCTCCTTTGGCATTTGGGGGCCACTTTGCATACATGGCCTTTATGTGAAATAAGAGATAACAAGTGTTGGCGTGGGGAGAAAAGGGAACCCTTATATATTGTTGCTGGGAATGCAAATTGGTTCAGCCACCATGGAAAACAGAATGACAGTTCCTCAAAAATTTAAAACTAAAACGTGATCTAGCAACCCTTTCTGGACAATTATCCAAAGAAAACAGGAACACTAACAAAAAAATATCTGCACCCCCATGTTCATTGCAGCACTATTTAAAATAGCCAAGACAGCCCTAGCCGGTTTTTTCAGTGGTTAGAGTGCTGGCCCACAGACTGAAGGGTCCTGGGTTCGATTCCGGCCAAGGGGCATGTTCCTCGGTTGCAGGCTCCAAGGGCACATGTGGGAAGCAACCAATCAATGTGTCTCTTTCACATCGATGTTTCTATCTGTCCCCCCTCCCCCAAAAAGCAATGGAAAAAATATCCTTGTGTGAGGATTTAAAAAAATAAGAATAAAAATAGCCAAGACATGGAAGCAACCTAAGTGGCTATTGATTGTTGAATGGATAAAGAAAATGTGATACACACACTGGAATAGTCCATAAAAAGGGAATCTTGGCATTTAGGACATGGGTGGACCTTAAGGGCATTATGCTAAGTGGAATAAGTCCGGGAGAAAAAGACAAATACCATATGATGTCACTTATGTGCAACCCTAAAACAAAACAAAAAGCAACCAAAAAACAGTTCCCAGATACAGAGAAGAGATTGGTATTTGCCAGGGGTGGGAGGTGGGTAAAATGGGGCAAATGGTACAAATGTCCACTTATAAGAAATAAGTCATGGGGATATAATATATAGCATGGGGCTACAGTTAATAATACCATACTGTATCTTCGAAAGCTGCTAAGAATAGAACTTAAAAGTTCTCATTTCAAGACAAAACAGTAACTATGGTGACAGATACTAACTAGACTTACTGTGGTGATCATTTTATAATATATACAAATATTGAATCATGTACACTTGAAACTAATATGTTATGAAACTAATATGTTCTATGTCAGTGTTACTCAATAAAATAAAAAATATACTGTGTTTCATACCTATTCCATGTGAGTCAGACATGATTTCCAGTGAGTCTGTGAAAGCTGCAGTAACACTTTAAGACCACTGAGTGTGTGTTGTGTAGAAAATAGATTTTGCAGTCAGGACAAGATTCACATTCCAGAACCAGGTGTGTTTTTTTTCTTCCATTTGTAAAATGGGGATAATGCCTTACAGGTAATTTGAAAAATTAGGTCACCTGTGAAGGGGTGACAGGATAAGATGAGGGCAGGGAATATTCTTACATCCGATTCCAACTAACCCTTCCTGCTGTGTGTTCCTGCTTCTCTGTCAGTCACTTCCTGCTGACTGTCCCCTAGCTCTATGGTGAAGCAAAGTCTCTTCCGGTCTTGGATTGATTCTCAAGTTGAACTTCCAATTCTTTACCTTAATTGAAATCTGAATTGCGCCCAAAGACACAATCAGCCTCAAAACGTTTTTATTCCCTACTGTCATTTTAAAACTGTTGTTCTGCCTCCATCAACCTCTGTTTTTGAACCTGGATATCCAAACCCTATCCTTGTTGCCTCGTTTATGACCTCCATCATGACACACTGCCTATCTTGGTGATTTGGGTGCCTGGTCAGTCATCTCCACCTCCTCTCATTTATTTTTACTTCTGGCCCATACCTTGGCTTCAGAGTTCTTTATTTAGCCTCTGAAACTCCAGAGAGTGCCCATTATAATGTGCTTGATTTGGAACTATTGCACTTCAAGGTCTCAAACTTAGAGCAGCATTACTATTCTGATTACAAGAACTTCATTTCCTCATTTCTGGTAACTTGCCCCACACCCAAATCACAGTCTATGGATTCTAACTCTTCTCTGTGCTCGTTCATCTCATTGCTTGGCTCAGACCATGCCAGCTCCATGTCTGCTGCCTCTGGAGTCCACGCTCGTCTGCTGTTCTCACCATTTCAGTTCCCAGTCCAGTGCAGCACCATTAACTTCTTTCAATACCCACTCCAGAAGCTGGGCAAAATTATGAAACCGTGCCACTGGATTCTGTTCAAGTTCACGATATTTCTTGCCAACTGGGTATGGGTACCCAGTTATGCCTTCTTATTTTTATCCTCTATTGTCTTCTCTACTGAATGCTTATTTCAGAGTAGGCATTTAGTAAACTTCTGTCAACTGTTGATTCAATGAATTAAAATATTTCTTACTATCCTCTAGTCTGAAAATCTTTCCCTTTGCTTTCTGGGTACTAAGAACTTGCCCCCTTTAAGAAAATCAGGACTTTCACTTTGAACTCCCTCATCTTTTTCTGCTGAACTCCTACTTTTCTGTATTTTCTTTCAGGATCGTCTGACACCTCCGATGGTACGGTGTCTCTTGCCCTTTCTGAGAACTGCCTTTCCTATTCCTGGTCCTCCATCTCATTCTCCTTTTCCTGCTGCGGGGCCCTGTCCCATCAGCAGGCTATCCTCCTGCTATCTTTAGTTTCTTCCTACTTGAGTCTTCCCTTCTGATGACAGCACAGAAGATCGCACCTATTTAAATAGTCAGCCCTCTCATATTACCACTACCAGCTTGTTCAGAACTGCAAAGAAACTTATACTAGTGAGCTCTGCATCCTTGTTACCCAATCATTCCTTCAGAGTCCAGCTCCCCCACCCACCCACATGCCAGCTGACTCTTACTCAGGCTCTGTTTTCTTGACTCTGTTCATCCAAAGGTCATCAGTGATCTCCAAATCCTCCATTTATCTTGCCTAATTTGAGGCTCTCTGATTACTCCAAGGTGGTTGATACTGCTGACAAACCTCCTCCTCTTTCCCCTTTGCTTTTATATCTGTATCTCCACCTTATCTCTCTGATGTATATATCTTCATTGCTTTTTTTAAATGCCTCTTCCCTCAACCTCTAAATACAGGTGTTCTGTAGGTTCTATTTTGGGGCTTATACCTTCTTTCTTGATCTTACCGCTTTTTAAGGCTTTTAAAAAAAATTATCTTTATTGTTGAAAGTATTACAGAAAAAGGGGACATCTGTAATACTTTCAACAATAAAGATAAATCATTTTAAGGATTTAATCTCCACATGGATGCTCCCTAATAGGTTATTCTAGCCTTGACCTGTTTCTCAAGCTCCATTGATAGAATTTAGGTTATCTGCTGAACATCAGTATCTAAATATTCTGCTATGGCCTCAGGCATACTAGGGCTACAGTGGACTACACCGTCTTCTGCAGGAGACAGAGTGGTGCTGTTCTGAGTTCAAATCATGACTCTAAAATTTATGTGCCAGATTAGAGAGATAGCTATGAACAAAATAACCACGATTTGCACTTGTGGAAACTTCCTGATCTATAAAATAGGGGAAAAGGACTATTATCACAGGCTATTGGGAACATTAAATGTGACAATGCAAACTGAGTGCTTAGCACATGCAGTGTATGCATGGTATGTATTACTTTAATAGTGCCACTCATGAAACTTCTGTTTCAGTTACACCACCATTCCCTGATTGAGATAGATTAAAATCTTGGAGTTATTTTCAATATTTTCTTAGCCATCTGTGTTCAAGTCCTCTATACTTTTTAAGTCCAAGATAAGAAAAATGGCTAAGACTTCGAGCTCTGGGGTTGACATCTTGTGTTCAAATCTAGGTTGAGTCCCCAGATTTGAAGCTAAGATGTATGTCATATAGGCACTTAGCTTTTCAAAGCCTGTGTTCTCATCTGTGAAATAAGGATGTTCCTGGCATCTACCTCAAAGAGGTATGGTGATGCTTACATGAGATAAGGTTTGAAAAGAACCTCACATGGTACAGGAAGAAATCATGAATCTGAGTCTTCCTTTCTATTTGCACTAATACCACCCTAATTCAGACTCCTGAGTGTTTGTGTCATCAGCTATATCTGTCTCTGTGGCAGACTCACTAGAGTAGCCCGTCTATGATCTATGTTTCCTGATGTTCATGGTCTTGTACAGTCCTCTCCCCTGGAGCATGGGAATGACCTGTGACTCGCCTCTAACTGACAGAATGTGACAAAAGTGACAGGACACAAGTGGTTAAGTATGTGGGAGTACAGTTTAGCTGAAGTG